AAGAGACCCGTCCGATTCAGATAGCACTCTTAAGATTGCTGTTGCAAATAATGCAAATAGAAGTGCTTCTTCGTTGATGGAGAGTGGTTCAGCCAGCATAAACAGTAGTCAATCCCATGTCATTGAGGCTGGAAATTTGGTCATATCAGTTCAAGTTCTTAGAAACGTAACCAAGAACTTTGCACCAGAGAATGAACTTGGTCGAGGAGGTTTTGGGGTAGTTTATAAGGGTGAATTTGTTGATGGAACTAAAATAGCTGTGAAAAGAATGGAAGCTGGAGTAATTAGCAGCAAAGCGTTAGACGAATTCCAATCTGAAATTGCTGTTCTTTCTAAAGTTCGTCACAGGCACTTAGTATCTCTCTTGGGATATTCAATTGAGGGGAATGAGAGAATTCTGGTTTACGAGTATATGCCTCAAGGGGCTCTCAGCAAGCATCTTTTTCAATGGAAGAGTTTGAAACTTGAGCCTCTCTCCTGGAAGAGGAGGCTAAATATTGCTCTGGATGTTGCTAGAGGACTAGAGTACCTTCATTCTCTTGCTCATCAAAGTTTTATACACAGAGACCTCAAATCTTCAAATATCTTACTTGGGGATGATTTTCATGCAAAAATATCGGATTTTGGTCTGGTTAAACTTGCTCCTGATGGAGAAAAGTCTGTGGTGACCCGTCTGGCTGGAACTTTTGGGTACCTGGCACCTGAATATGCTGGTAAGGATTCTGTTAATGTTTTGCTTTATAGTGGTACATGGTAAATAGAATTGTTCATTGAAGCCAGAAGAAAAATATTGAAAATCCATTAATAACCATGGCAATTATCATAAAATATGTCATGCTTTACTGGTATTAAGGACATCGTTAAGCCCCTGTCTGACAGCCGTTATTTTATAACTCTTTAATTCTCATATTTATTTTCAATCACACATTTACACAACAGAATATTTTGCACGTAAACCCAAAATTTTCCCTACTTTCTAGCTATACATTCTCCAAAATATCACCATTCAAAACTCCATTTTCCCAAAACAATGGCCATCAAACAGGGCCTAGGAATTTGATGTGTCGTGCATATGATGAGAATCATGCTTCTTCTTTCAGTTATGGGTAAAATCACTACAAAAACCGACGTCTTCAGTTTCGGAGTTGTGTTGATGGAGCTGTTAACGGGTATGATGGCACTTGATGAGGACAGATCCGAGGAAAGCCAATACTTGGTTGCATGGTTCTGGCACATCAAATTCAGTAAGGAGAAACTAGTGGCTGCCATTGACCCGGCTCTAGACGTGAAAGAAGAAACATTCGAGAGCATCTCCATCATATCTGAACTGGCTGGTCACTGCACAGCAAGGGAGCCTAATCAACGACCAGATATGGGGCACGCTGTGAATGTCTTGGCTTCCCTTGTCGAAAAATGGAAGCCAGTTGATGATGATACAGAGGAATATTGTGGTATTGATTATAGCCTTCCCCTTACCAAAATGGTGAAAGATTGGCAAGAAGCAGAAGGAAAAGACACGAGTTATATGGACCTCGAAGACAGTAAGGGTAGTATCCCGGCTAGACCTACTGGATTTGCAGAGTCATTCACTTCAGCTGATGGCCGCTAGAAGACTCTTATTGCTATGTAATAGGTGCAGATAACATGTTTTATTTTGTGTGTGATATTGATTGTATTCTAGAATTGTTGGTGTTTGTAGTTAATATTGAAAGTTTAAGCTTACACTATGTTGTGTAGGCTTCAATTTCAATCTTGTGAGATGTAGATATAGGTATGAAATACACTTCAGTTTTCTGTTCAACTACTTACTTTTTTCGTCAATTTTGACAATAATATTTGTCATAATTATCGTTCTTAGATTTCATGGCTTTGAGTTTCTCCTCGACATTCGCATTACATATTGTACGTGTGAGCATATATGTGAAATTGTCCTTTAGAATATTGTCATTTTTCAGTATTCATCATCACTCGTAAAACTTTATATCCAATGAATAAAATACGTTCCAATTAATGTCTCATAGATTGGGTATTTTGTAGTTCTCGAATCGACGTGTTTCGTCTTCAAATACGTTGAATGGTAGTAGATAACATTATTCATTTATCTTTTGAGCAATCAATCATGTAGGCAAAAAGTTATCTCCTTCGTATTGGTAGATAAAAAGCAACCACTCTTGGTATTGGCCAATAAAAAGCAAAAGTAAAATTTTATAGAATCGACGTGTTTCGTCTTCAAATACGTTGAATCTTTGTTCATCTTTTGTCTATACAGCTTTCAATATCATTCCAAGTGATTAGAATGAAATTTTTTAGCTTTACCACCCAAAAATTGACGTACCATCTTTAATCATTTCAACCTTTATTTCATTTTGCAAGACACCAAATTCAATCGTTGCAATCACCCAATTATCAAAATTGGACGTGTGTCATACTTTTGACAAAATAAAAAAATTATTGGATTCATAACTTAGTAAAAATGTATTCATTCTTTAATAATTTAAGCAGTATACTTGATAATTGATTGTGTCGGCAAACAATGAACAAGATTTTTATCAATACGTCCCTTTCAAATTATTTGACAATGTCTTCTGTATTTTTCTTTCAAAAATAAAAAAGAAAAAAAAATCAGAAACAATGATCAAATGATAGATGTAATCCAAAGGGGAGTTATCATGCAAAAGAGAGGACCAAGTGTCCAACGTACATAAAATAAAGCCACATGTACATCTCATCAACCTCAATCATGTCTCCTTTTGGAATTTTGGTCCTCGATAGATAAAACGAATCTTCAACCAAAAGATAAATAAATAAAATAAAATAAAATGTTTTAAACTTTGCAAAGTGATGTGTCCACGTGAAAGTCAATATCAGTGACTAATCTGATTGTGATTGACAAAAAAATTAAAATCCTTCTTAATTTATGGAATTGTACATAATTAATTGAATTGAAGTAAATTATACGACATTGTTAATTTTAAAGTTAGAGACTCTCGATTACTAAGCTGTTTCAATAATTTTTGTGTTGTGGTTAAACAAAAGTTGTCACCTTGTTTGATATATTACACTCTCTTATATTTGATTGATATTAATATTAGATTTTGATAGTTTGAAAGTGGAGATTTAAGTTACAAAATATTGTCTAAAATTCAGAATGTTGCAAGGCATGAACAATCTATCCTTCACGTAATCGTCAATTACCGATTATACCCTTTTACCTTGTAATTGTCTCAATGGAAATATTTTCTCACTTTAGCGTAATTCAGGATAAAATGATATTTTGACCAACTAATGATTGGAAATGTGGAGGAAATTTGTATTAATGTCATAAGTTGTCTTTCAATAAAAAGTATTTAGTTAATTGAGGATCCTACTTTTTGTTCACAAAAGTTGATTTTTTACTAAGCAAGCGCTATGTAAATTTGGCAGGTTTTATGAAGCTCCAATTATTAGTGATGAAAGGAAGACCGGCCGCATGATACAAATCTAGAATTGGCAATCATGAACCATTCACAAAGGAAAAAAAAGGGAGAAATTCATAACTAATAGGTTAAGTATCACCAATTTCAAAATTAAGAACAAATGTTTCATATTTCAAAAATCAAATATTTATTAAAATTTATTTATGATTTAATTAATTAAATATATTAAGGTCACAAATCTATACAATTTGGTCACAGATTAACGATTTAGTTAGTCACATATTATTTTACGATCACAAATCAGTATTTTTATATGTCACAAATTATTTTACGATCACAATTCAAAATTTGTATAGGTTACAATTCTTTCACTGATCATAAATCCAAAATTTATAAATCAAACACAAAACATAAATATTATAAATTACAACTTATTGTACAATCACACATTATCAAATTATCGGTTACAAATTAATAATTTTTGAAGTCACATTATTTTTTTGTAAAATTTATCTTTTTCATTGGCCACATATTATTTATTGATCATGAATTAACTAATTTTATAGTTATAGTCAACCAAATAATTTGTGATCACCACCAACACTTGCGACCACAATATCACCATTGTCCCCAGCAGCAGCAACACCACTATCATCGTCAAAACCACCACCACGACTTCCTGACAGCAACACCACCCCCTCCTCCACGGCCATCGCACCGCCTGCACCATAACTATTTGCGACTACCACCGCCAACAGTGCCAGATCCACCACCTTACCAGTGCCAAAGTCTATCTGCACCACTGCTAACAAAAAAACCCCAAAACCAATAAAATCCAACTGCATTCGCCAACTCCATCACCACATGAACCGTCGCTTCCAGTGCCACTATTATTGTCAATACCTTACAACAACCACTAGCAGTACTAGTACCAATTTTACCACCGCAACCTCACCATCGTCACTACCACCGCTGCATCCACCATCTCGTCAAATTTATTATCTCCACCTTTACCACACCACAACTGCCACCACCAACAACGAAATTTCCAAACAAGCCACAACCACCTACACTTACACCACAATCGCCACCACCAACACAAAATCCACTCAAAAATTCCTATCACCACAAAATTGAAAGAAGAGTAGAACTAGAAGGCCGACGAGAGGAAAATGTAGAGGAAATTTCGATTTGCCTCTAATTCGATTGGGAAAAGGACACGTTGCTGCTTGGCGATGAAGGTAAGTCATCGACGAGCTGCACACCATCGATGGAGGTTGTCAAACTGATGAATGAGAGAAGAGAGAAGGAAGAGGTAGAGTGATAATATTAATGGTGGACGGTAAGGTATGTAAATTAAATTAATTTTATAAATTAATACTTATTTTTTGCTCGGCAATGCACGGATTATGTTGTTTTGAAGATAATGTTAGCGTGTTCGGTGTATAGAACTAATGAGAGATGTATATTATCCTACATATATAAAAGAGCGAAGCAGGGCGGGACACGTGTCGTTAATAGACATCGTCTTGGAACTTTATTTTTTCATTTCATCGTTTCTCCATTTTCTCACGCTATCGGTCATACCTCTTTCCCTTTCCTTCATTTTTTTCTCCATTTTCCCACGTTATCCCCATACCTCTTTACTTCTCCTCCATTTTTCCCACACAATCACCCATTTCCTGCAAATTATTTTTGCCATATAGATGTTCGGCTAGAATTTCAGAATTCTGTTCGATCTTTGCTTTTAATGCTTTCATGAGGATTAGAAGAGTTTGGTGTGGGTATAGTAGAGATTTTTTGGCCGATTTGGGAGTTTTTACCCATATAATTTTGCTTTTTAATTCAATTTGGACTATTTGTTCTTATTGTTTATGTGCTCTACGATTTGAATTCTTCTGATTTTGATTTCTTTTTTATGTCCTGTGAGTTATTAAATTCCAATTCTGTGATTGGTCTCAAATTGAAGCATTGCTATAAGGATTGATTAAGTGATAATTATTACATTGTAAAAAATATTGCGTCCATTTTATGGTAAATAGGATGTATGGGTTACCTAGCTGAGGTACTCCAATGGAGGCTAATATGCAACTTCCATTGGCAGAACTAATGAACTTATACATTTAAATTTATTGTTGTTTTACCCAAGTGAAAGTATTCTTGGTTCATTTTGCAGATGGTAGGAGATTTCTTTGATGAGCTGAAGTCAAAAAGTATTCTTGGTTCAAGAAGTAAAAGCTATGCTGGCATGGAGTATTCCTTCATTTGGGTATGAAATCTATGCATTTGAGTTTAACTTGAATATGATATTTCCTTATTATAAAGGAAAGTTTATGTTTCTCTTTTCTGTTTTCTAAAGCTGGTAGGCAATTTATATGGCAATGTTTTCGAGTAATTTGTCTTAAATTTATTAGATTTATGCGGTGCTTCATTGATTTCTGCTAAAAAATTTATTAGTTTATATTTGCATATTTTTTTGGTTGAAAATATGTAGATGGCGTGGTGTACAAATTGCTTCGTGCTGCTGAACTACTGTGTATAACTCTGCAGCGCATGGAGTGACCAAGTCCGTCGCGCACGGAGCAAAAATATAGCTGTAGAATTTGTCAAAACATTTCAAGAATCTTTTCCAGTTTTGAACTCAATTTCATGAATAATTGTCATCTCTTGAAGCATTTAATTATGTCAACTATCAATGAGAAAAACAAGAAAATTCATCCTTCAAAACATTTTTTTAAACACACAAAAAAAAAATAAAAAATAAATAAAAATTGAGGCTAAAGCAGCTCCGTGTGAGGCTCACTTTTTCTTTTTCTTTTTTTAATTTCTTTTTTTCTTTTTCTTTTTACTTTTTAGTAGTGGCCCTTATTATTATAATTTTTTTTTATAAATATAGATAGTATCTAAATACCCCAAAGATCATATTTAAATCGTTTAGGACATACAAAATATTGTCTAATAAGTCGTTTAGGACATACAAAAAATAGTATCAAGTTTCATATCCATACAAAATATTGTCTAATAACAATATTTCATTAATGTAGATGAATGACTCACTAATAAAAGTTGAACTTTATTCTTTATAAACCTTTTTTTTTAATCCAATTTCAAAATGTTTTTCACATTTGTAAATGAATTTCTAGAAAATTTACAAACACTTAAAATTTATTAATCATCAACTAAAAAAACCCCATTTTTTTCAAAGATTTTAATGGTCCCCTTCATTTTTTAAACAAACCCCATTTTTTCTTTGTCATGTTCTCTCCTTTTAATCTCTTCCTCAACCAAAAAGTAAGTGACAAATGCTCCTACAGTTCCTACTACACAAACACCACTTTTCTCTTGAAACGGCTTCACAAGTTGCATCTATTTTAACCCGTGTAAAGGATCTACAAATTATATATATATATATATATATATATATATATATTTATTTATTTATTTATTTATTTATTAATTATTTTTTACATTGTGTACCATTTTCTAATATAAAATTTTCCCATTTGCAAGCTTTTGTATTTATAAGTATTGGACCGTTCTTCCTGCTCAAGGCAATCTGGTCAGGACAATTTTTGCATTTTGCTTATTTTTGTTTATTGTTATTGTTATTGTTATTATTATTAATAATAATTTTTTTTTGTCATGTGTATAGAATTTGCTCTTTATTATTTTTAACAATTTTTTAATATCTTAAGAATTTGTATTGGAAGTTTTTATTATTTAGGATTTCTCTGCAGTTATGAAAATTGGGATATCTACATTTCTAGATCAAGTATAATACATTCAGTTATATGCCTAGCAAATTTCCAAGACTTAATTTTTAGCTATCACGTCTCTATATTCTCAAATACAGACTCTTTCAGAGCGTCTCATGCTAGAAATGATGTAAGATATTGAGTTTGCAATGTCAACTAAGGTTTTAAGGGAAATGATGGCAAAGATCACTCACAAGTTAATCCTAAGCTAGAGAAAGGAGTGTAGCTCTAAACAGTTTGACAACAAGATTGTAATCATGAATTGCTTGTTTCCATATTGGTTATCAAGGAAGTGCATCTTTTAGATAACACTGCACAAGAGATCAAATTTGAAACATTTCGTTTTATGGTAAAATTTTTCATTTCATAATATAGGTTTCAAAATTTGATTTGATGGTAGCTACTCGTACAGAAAGTCCATTATAAGTTTCAGCATTCTTGTCTTAAAAAAGCAATTTGACTAACAATGATTTGAAATTCGAGTTTTATAAGAAATTATTGCAATGTAATAGTTGGCTGTTTTATGTTACGTCTCTTTTCCTAAAGCTTATGCAACTTGGTTTAATAAATATAACAAAAGTTTTATAGTCATTCACTTTTGTATACATATGTTGAAATCAAAGAGAAAGAATTTTGGTTTTAGCTTCCTAGAGTTCTACCGACATATTTGTATCTCAACCTGACCCCATTTCAAGGTGTAATTATACTACTGGCTTTCAATTGCTAGAATATTCCATCGTGGTGGAGCAATACCTATTTCTACACCTCAGTCCCGCCCAATTCAATTATATGATGCTTTTGGTAAATTCTTTATTGTGAAAAAAATGTGTGGCAGATATATATTTCTCTCAATGAAAAAAAGTAACTAGATTATGGCTGAAGAGAGAGATTAGAAGTATTATTTTGTTGCTTTCCTTATTGGTATTGCCCTTGGTGAGAGTTGCCATTAAGAAGTTACATTTTTGTCTCTATTGAGCATAGCCAAATAGGCTGCAGTTATTATTATTATTTTTGCCTCTCCATTTTCTGACACTGCTTAAAAGCTTATTTTCTTCAATTGATGATTGACTTCTATTTTACTTTGCTACTGGATCGTGTATATATGAGAATGCAGATTTGGCATTACATTATGGTGTGATGTTGAGGGAGTGCATTCGCCACGTAATTGTTGCTAGGCGAGTGGATGATTTGTTTATGTGCTAATTCAAATATTTGTTTATAATAAGTAACAAAAAGTTGACTAGGAGTAACTTTCAAGTTAATTGGACGTCCATCTTAGTTAATTTAAATACCAATCATCTAAGAATACCGCTATGCTATGTATTATTTTTTGAAAATATATAAATTATGGTAATAGCATTTGTACTTTCTATGTTGGGGTCTGAAGCAGTATCTAGATTGTCATGCCATCAAATTTACTTTTCATCTTCTGCTGTAATTGCACTTTCGTTTGTCACCAAGTGAGACTTACACCTAGCATTGGAGAGGCAGATGAAAGAGATGGATGCTCCCTAGAATCATTCTCATTATTTTGCTAATTCCCCAGTCTCAAGTTAGGTTCTCTAGGATACAATTATTTTTCACCAATGTGTTGATGATGTAGGTATAATTTCAATTTTCAATGTGAGCACATCATGTTTTTTCCCCTTTATGCTTTTAGAATGGTTGGAAGTGGGGGTGTGTGGCCTATTTCTTCATGTTGTATGTGCGAATTGAAAGTAGAACATAAAATGCGCATGTGCTCGCTGATTTTAGTATTTTCAAGATGGTGGGTGATGAAATACTTTCCCTGTGATTTTTTTTTTTTTTTTTTTTTGGGGGGGGGGGGGTTTGGGGGGGGGGGGGGGGGTGTTTACTGTTACTTTTGATTCATGAAGAAGTGGAGGGAAGGAAGGAGTCTTGTGTCGTATCTGATGGATAGGGATAGATTGCACAATTTCAATGTAGAAAAGTGTCGTTGTTTTATCTTTTTATTTTTCAAGGTTGCTTAAAATCATTCTCAAAGTTCGTTATGTATTATAATAAATTTGGAATTGCTTGCTGTTGTTTGATTTTAATACCCTTTTGCAGGTTCCCTAATGACATTCAATATATTGGAGGAGGCTATTGCGCTATTGGCAATTGATGATACAAAACATCGTATGTTGTCTTCTCTCTCATTTTTTTTCATTTTTACTGATGCTCGAGGGTAGGGTGCTTTACTATTTGTAATACAAAAATCATACATAAGTACAACATTTTTAGAATGTTATGGGGTTCAAATGACTGCTACGAAAATGAGAAGGAAAAAAAGTGATTAGGTTCGAGAAGATCTGGTTATTGCTCATCCATCATTCTTATAATTTCGAGTTTAAATATGGTGTCTCCAAGAGTGTTCCTTATGCTTAATGCTCTTAATTAATTTGCTTTACTTTCCATCCACTTACTAAAAAAAATCAATAATTGTATTTTTTTCATTGACTTTTTGCATTTTAAATGAGACTATCAGTTAAGCCATTTGAGTTTTATTCTTTCGAACTACATTACTTTACAATGTAATTTTACATTTTTAGACAATGATTAGTATGGAAAAAAAATTAATTTCCAATTGCTTCTAAAAGTTTAATAAATACATTTATTGTTGTAGTGGAAATATTATGTTGTGCGGAATTGATCTACCACACCATTTCTTTCAAGTTATCCCACCTTCGTTAGGCCATGACATTTGTTTGGTGAGTGTTATAATTATTCAACACATTAAGAGTATGTTTTAGTAGAAGTTCCAGTTGGATCCATCAATGCACTCTCTTTCTATGGGGAATTTATATTTGAGAGCCATTTTTATATAATCTCCATGGAGAATATGTATATGAGAGCCCCTTTTTACGTAATTTCACGGTTAAATTTCTACATATTTAATTGTATTCCTAATATTTCTATGGCAACTTCGAACGAAATTGACTGTTGTTAGATTCACTGCTTCTTTAAAAACTATTGTGTATGTTCATTCACCACCGCCATACACTTATATTTAATATTCACCCACCAACGTGCAATGCACGTTTTCTTCACTAGTGATTGAATAAAAGTTGTTAGGTAGATTAATATGTTTTGCTCATAAGTTTGTCCTAATAGCCAATTAACTACTAAAACTTTTTCATTTGAAATATCTGCCATTTAATTTCATCACAAGAACTATCTTATTTCGCTTCCCTTTATGAATCATAAGAATTTATAGTTGCAATTGATGCCCATAGTTAGAGTTTTCTAAAATGGGGTTTAAAGTTTAGACAAAAAGACTATCATAGGTTTTACTTGTTGCACTTAGAAGCAACCAGGTTGACGAATGAGGCAATAAGAAGCTAACACACGATTCTCCACTCTCTTCCATTTTGTTCTCTCTTTTAAAGTCTGAGATTTTGTTTTCCAGCTTCTTGAATGCATGCATGTTTTCACTGAAATGGAAAATGATTCATAGACAAAAAACAAAATGAGGCAAAGATTACAATAGATTGTATATTAGAGCTATTAGTCCTATAGTATAATTTATCAGATAAAGTAAAGTAAAAGCAACACTGAGAATAATCATCCAATATATTTCCAATGTAATATTCAATGATTTTTAAAGAAATGTTTAATGTTTGATTAGTTTTGCAGTTGATGGTAGTTATATTAATACACCGTCCATGCGATGTGATTTCTAACATTACAATACAAGCTTGTGATTATGAAAAATGGTAAGACACAATGCAACCAATGTGAAGATCAGAGTGTTTAAGAGCAGGTGAAAGGCCCAACAACCATTACACTCATAATATATGTTTGCTGTTTTAAAGTTGAAAGGAATTAAGATAAAGTATTATAACTTGTTTACAAACAGGGGAAGACATCTTATTCAAAAAAAAATTCACTGCAGATTTTCTTCAAATCATCATTGTCGAGAAAGTTCAGCGATTTTTTTATCAATTGCCTGAGAAAAAAATAAAGACGAACGAATTACAGTTACTCTCACAATTGCTTTATAAATGAAAAGAAAAAAAAATGTTGGATTAACATAACAATGAACACAGCAAATATGAAAATAAATATTCGATGAATACAAATATTGCACCTGGTTACCATAATTATTCATCCTGCCCCATCTCGACACCATTGTTGTTGCGACTGAAATTAATAATGCCACTTGAAATCATCAAATTATTACCGCTAGAATCACCAGCAAAACTTCTGTCTCCATCGTACCACTGCGTGAACTTCATCCACAATTATCAATACTCAAGTCCATCACATAACCACCAGGACCACATCTAGTTCTATCACAGCATCACTATTTCTATCATCTGTACTTTACCTTTAATGACTATCTATCATCGGCACCACCTAAATGTAGCTACTCCTAGTATGTGAACCTCTCATTCTGCGTTTTTTTTAATCAACTCAGAAAATTTAGCTTCAATGGCATTCAAGCATAATGATAATAACTTGTCAATTCACTCAAATGAATTGAATCAAGACAGTCAATGGCAGTTGGAGAAGAGTGGAAAACACAATTTTTTTCAAGGCTTTTAAAACATTGATACGAAAACAAGAATATATTACCGTTTAATGTGTAAGATTAAGAGAGAAACATAGAGGATGATTGGAGGATAAAAAAGCAAGAGACTTCGGGATTTGAAAAGGCTGAAATTTTTTCAACTCTTTAAAGAGAAATTGAATATAGCACCACTATTTTTCGTAGATGTTGATTTAGTTAACTTAGCTCGTGTATTGAAGTAGCTGAAAGCAAAGTTTCAGCTTTATCAATCAAGTGACATATGCAACATTTACATGTCTAGAATTAAAAAAAAGGGTATTCAAGCTTCAATAGTAGCAACGAGAGGTACGCCAAATGTATTAGCAGGTTTTCTCATTCAAATAGTTCAAAAATTAAATAAATACCAGAAATGAAACTACCCCATGTATCACGCTAAATGTAAGAATATAACCTTGCGAAGTAGGGCTGTAAGCAAAAATCGCAAAATTGGAAAACCGAACCAAAACCGCAGTTTAGAAACCATCGGTTTGGTGCCACGCGAACCCGGTCAAGGAAATGGTTTTGACCCAAATCAAACCGGTCAAAATGGTTTGGTTTAGATTTGAGAATTTTAATTGCGGTTTAAAACCAAATCGGACCAGCGAAAAAATATATAAAAATAAAAAAATAAAAAAAATGAATTTTTTTGAAAATCATCTAAATATGTAAAATTCAATAGTTTTGTCATTTGTTGGTATTTTTGTCAATTCCTAATTTTCTAATACAGATATATCATTATTATTATTATCTAATAATCCTAATATATATTTAATAATTTTAAAACTAACATAATCTATCAAAAACTTTTTTCCTCTTCAAAATTTAGATAAACTCCAGTCGACACCTAACACAGTTTTGAGCCACCGACACCACACACTTCTTTTCAGATTTTTCACGCCTCTTCAAAGTCGAATTGAAGTTCATTATATCAAATCGGAGACAAAGAGATCCTAGACCTTCGGTCATAATATTTGCTACAAATAAAGTTTCAGATTAATAATTTTTTGGAGCAAACTAAGGTAAGAATCTGAAATTAAATGTGTTTCGTAATATCATACAAACGTAAACTTGTGTAATTGTTATATTTAGATATTATAAACAATTGCTTTATTATTGTAGTTGGTTATTCTCTTTATTTAATCAATATCTTTTTTTTTTTTCAAATATGATGATCAAGAGATCTTGTTTGACATCATTATGTTTTTTGGACCTTATATCTAATTTAATATACTTGTATTGTAACATTATTTTATCGTCATTAACCTAAAAAAGTAAACAAAAATGAAAAAAAATATATATGTTTTAATTTATTGTGATTTCACTTTGATTTAGTTAATATTTAAATTTATAGTAAATATATTTAACCTCTGTTTGAGCCATATTTTTCATATCATATAATGAGAAAATTCCCTATTGGAGAGGAGATTAGGTCCCACACATGAAATAGCAAGTCAACAAAGACGGGTGGACTTGTGAAATAACGATTCAAATTTTCATTTTTTTTTGTCCCAAAAATTTGGTTCAAACAGCGGCTTAGTTTGTTTTAGATTTATTACTAATCAGATATAAATATATATTAAATTCAATGAATTAATGACATAAAAGTAGACGGGCAAAAAAATATATGGTGAAATCGACGATTTAAAACCGAACCAAACCGTTAATTTTAAGTTTGAGTTTTTCTCAAACCGTTTAAAATGATTTTGTTTAGGTTGGAATTTTTCTCAAACAGTTTTAAACGGTTTGGTTTGAAAATTTGTCAAAAATCGGTAAAACTGGACCGCTTACACCCCTATTGTGAAGGCCAAAACATGGATGTTGAACGGACCTATCCACGTCACGATACCCCGTTCGAACTTCTGTTCCAAGGGCTCTTAAACTCACTATCATCAAGTTTTCGAATTTGAGCAAGAGAATTGTCAAATTGATTGGAAAAATTCATGGATGCTCAGAAGGTTAAACACTTTCAAGATGAATACAACATATTTAATATCTTCGTAATTTGTATAGTCAACTACGCCAAAGGTTCCTGAATACAACAACAAATTTTTATAAACACCATTAACAAGGTTGCACGGACCCTATAGTATCTGTAGAGTTAAAAAAAGGGTATTGAGTAAAACAATTTATTATTATCATTAGAACCAAAAGTAAGAAACATGAAATTAAAACTGACATGCACTAAAAGTGTTACCATTTTAGCCGTAATTAGCTCAATGCCTAGAGCCTTCTGACATCCCGCTTTGAGACAACTGGAGTTTTATGAGATTAGACAAGTTAAAGATTCAAAAGCTGAAAACTTCTAAAGTACTTCAAAGAAATGTTATCGTAAGCTGTGGTTACCTTTAAGAATTCAAGAGTAAAACTGAGAGGAAGCATACTTAAGAACAGCATTGTTGAATAAGCATCAACCGTTGAAAATATATCTAAAACAAAAAGCCATCAATGCATTTGAACTGCCAAAATCAGGAATCAAATCACATCATGCAAAAACCAAATCTAATTCAGCCTGTTTAAGTCAATTATATGCGGCCATCTAATAAGCTGACAAAAGTACCACAAGGATGAAAGGTAAATCATAACTTTAGCCTGACCACCCACATTCTGTTTGCTAGCAACCAAGTTAATTTTTATGGGTCTCGTCGAAAAACACCTTCCATTCATATCAGCCATGACTCACGGTCTCTTTCATCACGATACCTCACAAATTCATCGTCAAACTCCAATTTCAGTTGAAATTTCCTAATTTTTTGGGAATGATTTGTTAAAACCTCGAAAAAAAAATCGAAGATTGAACAGTGAATATAAATAACACTAACATTTGGCACTAACAATGTATATTATCAAAATTACATTTCAATAGTACAGAATTGACATAAAAATTGTGGAAAACTTATTTGAATAAAGAAAAGAAACAATTGTATCATAAAATTGACGTTTTCTGAATTGAAGTAACATATTTATGGACAATTTTGCATAGTTCATAACATGCCAAATTGAGCTAAGCTGGTCTCTCAGAGGAAGCCTGCTGTAAATTTAGTTCCATTAGCAAGAAAAATCTGCAGTTGTGGCCTCAACAGTAAAGCAAATTAAAGGAGTTGCATCGGCATTTATTCATATGACCCATTAACAATTTTAATTGAAGACGCTAAACTCATCTGATTATGCCCTCATCCTCAGTGTCTGAGACATGCTTATAAAGAGGATCAATGATTTCAACTTTAGGGGACTGAATGTGAACACATGCTCGTTAATGAGATATTAATGGCCATTTCCTCAAGAAGACAAACTATTTAAAATAAAAGCATAGAAGCAGGTTGCAATAATTTGAAGGAGCATAAAGAACAAGAGGTTGGTAGCATTTTACTGTAACAATGGATGGAATATTAGACTTGCTAGGGGAACCATGTGACAAATCCATACAAAGTATTATGGTTGGAACCTCGGGTACCATTATGATAGACAGAGTTTGTTCAATGGCAAAGAGAGAATTTAAGCTACCCAGCAGGGAAAATACAAAACTGCAAGGGACAAAAAATATAAATACACACTTTGAAAACTATCAAGGCAAGATCTCATAATATTATCCTAAATGTTGAGTATCTCTAATCGCTCATTTGCTGCTCAAAGGTATTCTAAAGCATGTAAGGAAAACATTACGTGATTGAAATACAACTCCCAAATGTTAAATACTTAAAAAAGGTATTGCGGGCTAGCAATAAACTCAAAGGTATTTTTACATCATGTACCCCATTTTCTTTTTTCTTTTTAGTATTTAACACCTGAACTGCTAAGTGTTAAGTACTAAAAAAAGCCCCAATAAACACAAAAAGAAACTCAATAACAACCTGAACGAGCCGACAAGCTAGAATACCTGAACTTCTTATTAGCCATGCTATATATTGAAATTTAAATGGGGAAAATAATACAAAGTACAACTGCCAAGTGTTAAAAAAAAAAAAAAAAGTTCTTTGAATTTATTGAATGAAAAAGTCGAAGAAAATACCTGGGAAGGGATGCACAATCTTTCTCAAAGGCTATCAAGTTCATCAACCAATGATTTGTTGTTTACTGAATGTATTTCCAGCTTGTTATTAGGGGCTTCAACCTTCATAAAACAAAAGAATATGTTAGAACATTCTCAAAGCACAGGGAAGCGCTTAATTTGAATTAATTCATAACAAATTCTTCAAAATATTTTATAAAGCAAGTGATAATATAAGCAGCTATGCTTTAGCAAACAAATAAAATTGAATTTTAATTTGCTCATGTTGTTGAACAAAGCAAAATTAGAATCAGACGAACACACTATGCAGTATATAGTTTTATAACTAACATGATGTATATGAGCAAAATCACAAGACAAGACGAAAATATACATTTTCAAATGAGAGCACGATGTGGGGAGATGCATACTGATTTTATGTCCTCTCTCATATCTTGAAATTTTATATTGAATGTACCCAACTATTCATCCATGTCCTGAACAAAATTAGTAGCAATCTGAAGGCCTGTAGTACCTGCACGATCCCTAAATAAATCATTCAGGGTTCACGTTGCTGTCAACTTGAAAGAAAAGAAAATAAAAACCAAATACAATCGTCATAAAAAATTTATTTTCAACGTTGCAAATGACTTAGCTTCTTGTAAACCAAACAAATTTTGAAAGTTTGGCTAATATACACATCCTCAAAATTAATCTTTCAAACACAATAACAAAACCAAAAGAAAATAAATGAAACTGGATAATACTCATAAGTATTTTAAAAAAAATTAGGTGTTATACTTTTAAGTAAACACAGGTAAAATCGACAAGCTATGATTGAATAGAAAGACGTGATAAAGATGACGTACACCTACTATCAATTAACACAAATATCTTACGGGATCACAAGTGATGGCAAGAAAACAAAATGCAGTAAACATGTGGATATCAATGCTTAAAATCCTAAGTTACCTCATTAACTAATGCTTGTTCTCCAAAATTACACGCACATTTGCCACTTCCAAAGCTTGAAGCTCTTTTTTCAACCACTTAGAAAATGCCTCTGCTTCACTGAAATGCATTAGGGCCAACGAAATTAGCTTACATCAGCAATATAAATTGTCTTCTTCCAAAGCCCTAAACATTAAGCAAGTCACATTTCAAACAACCAAACTTCCATGTCTCAATCTACTACAATCTCTTAACATCCTAGAGCTCTAAGAACTTTCCATAAAACTTTTGCAATTCACAAGTTCGCAAGTTTTGTTTTACCCTCTCTCTTTTACTCTGACAGCCTACGTGCCCAAATTTCTATCTAACTAAAACGAAATTTACCTTTGAACAATATCTTTTTCATTCATAACACATCTTAATAGTGGCTTAGGAAAGGAAAATCACAATAGCTTCATATAACATTGAACAACCTATTTGAATAATTCAAAAGATAAAATTTCAACAGAAGGTTTCAAAGTATAAAGTATACAAGTGCCTAAGAGAGCTTCCATGTCATTATCTTTGATCATAAAGTGTGATGCAGTTTATGATCAACTTTCAGAATGACATAATAAAGAAGAAATAGTCTATGCAGATTTCTATCGTTTACAACACTTGTAAATGATAATTCTTTTGATAAGGCTAGCTGGAAGGTCACATAAGAAATTAAGGAAGACAATAGCCCAATATAATATAGAGAGAAAATCCAAGATTGTTGAAGGAATCCAACAATATTTAACTTTATTTGCTCATTCTGTTCACTTCACCCACTTTAAATGATCCTATTCTTAGAACATAATCCTACAAGCTTTGAGCCTTTTGTGCCACTTCCATGGGTAATTCTGCTTTATTTCTTGGTTTTTCCTCTTTCTAGAAATTAAAAATTAGAAAAACAATTCCTTTCCAATTCTATATTAATTTGTGGGCCGATTAGGAAATCGAATGCAATAAAATCACTTTGAGGAAAACCACTTACGATATTATCTGGAAGAGAAGATGTCATAGTTTTTCCTACATTTGACAGAGTCAAGAATTCAGCAGGTGGCCTTTCATTAAAATGTCTCTGCCCTTTGTTGCATCTTCTGGTTCCTCATGTACTCTCCGACTTGCAAAAAGATCAAAATAAGCATTTGTATCCAAAATTGTGAAAGTGAAAATGAAAATAAAAATCTAATTCCACAATAAAATATGATCAACACCCATATGTGTCATACCAAAGCAAATGAAAACGTAACGGATGAAAGACTTTATTTTCAACGAAAGCTAAAACATTGGATCGATTAAAATTTACAACAAAAAAAAGAAAGAAAAAAAAGAAAAGAAAAGGTAGTTAGATTTATAAGCACTAATTATGTTAGGCTTTTGAGATTAAGGCTCCATTTTGAAGAAAATATGAAATGAATACACAAGAACCAAATATCCAACAAAACTTAACACATGCTAGATCGAGGTTATCGAAAGGCCTACCAAAGATCCTCGATCTTCGGGGTTTCTTTGGGGTTCCTTTGTAAAATGGACACCTCGACAGAGAGGAGTCGGACTGTCCGAGTCGGAGTCGACGGACAAATGAGGAGTATGACAAAATGAAAATGGTAGTTACGATTTGTGGAGAGAGTCTACTAATTTTACAGCACCATGGTCTTGGAAGGAATAAAGATTTTGGTTTCTCTGTCGTTGGCTAGCTTCTCCAATGTACAAATGGTGCATAAAGAATATATTTACTCAACTGTACAAAACCTGATAATGAACAGTAAATAATCCAGTTCAAGTGTGAAAAGTAGGGTGACAAAAATAAATAGTGAATTTAGAATCCCCTCTTTTAAGAGGAAAAGGGATTAAAATTTTGAATTATAATATGATTTTTGAATATCAAACTTTGCACCCAATTTTGAAGTTGGATCTTAAAAAATAAGGAAAAGTGTAATTTAAAAAAAAAAATTGTATTGCTCAGGTTCCTAAGAAAATTATTGCCGCTTCGATTTTCAGCCTGCTACTTTTAGGGCCCAAGATATTCTCCCGGCCCGGTCCAGAATATTAGCAAATAAGTAAAGTGGAAATTACACCCAATCAGATTTTTTAAGATCCAATTTCAATGAGAACTAAATCTTGTTTATAAAAAAATCAGATATTAATTCAAAATTTTAATATTAATAATTATTTTACAAAATCGACTTAATATACATATTAGAGGTGTAAGCGGTCCGATTTTACCAATTTTTTATACATTTTCAAACCAAACCGTTTTATTCGGTTTGAGAAAAACTCAAACCTAAACCAAACCGTTTTGAACGGCTTGAAAAAATAAAAATAAAAACTCAAATCTAAACCTAACGATTTTGTCAGATTTTAAACCGCCTGTTTCGCCATATATTTTTTTGTCAGTCTACTTTTATGTCATTAATTTATTGAATTCAATATATATTTATATCTTACTACTAATAAATCTAAAAGAAACTAAGCCCCTGTTTGAACCAAATTTTTTAGATAAAAAAATGAAAATTTGGACCGTTATCCCATAAGTCTAGGCGTCTTTGTTGACATGCTGTTTTATGTGTGGGACACAGCCTTCTCTCCAACGATCAATTCTCATTATGATGATATGGAAAGTATGGCTCAAATAGGGGCTAAATATATCTACTATAAATTTAAATACCAACTAAATCACAATAAACTAAAACATAGGTTTTTATTTTTTTCATTTTTGCCCACCTTTTTTAGGCTAATGACAATACAATAACATTACAATACAAGTCTATTAAAACAAATATAAGGCCCAAAAAATATAATGATATCCAACAATACCTCGTGATCACATATTTGAAAAAATAATACTAATTAGACAAAGAGAATAACCAACCACAACAATAAAGTAATTGTTTATAATATATAAACATAAAAATTACACAAATTTACATTTGTATGATATTACGAAATGCATTTAATTTCAAATTCTTACTCTAGTTTGCTCAAAAAATTATTGATCTAAAACTTTATTCGTAACAAATATTATCACCGAAGGTTTAGGATCTCTTTGTCTCTGATCTGGTATAATGGACTTCAATTCAACTTTGAACAGATGTGAAAAATCTGAAAAAAAAGTGTGTAGTGCCAGTGACTCAAGACTATGTTGGGTGTCGGCTGGAGTTAATCTAAATTATGAAGAGGAAAAATGTTTTTAATAGATTATGTTAGTTTTGAGATTATTAGATATATGTTATGATTATTGGCTAATAATAATAATATATTTGTATTAGAAAATTGAAAACTGACAAAAATACCCACAAATGACAAAACTATTGAATTTTACATATTTAGATGAATTTTCAAAAAAATTAATTTTTATATATTTTTCGTCGGTCCGGTTTGATTTTAAACCGTAATTAAAATTCTCAAATATAAACCAAACCATTTTGACCGTTTTAGTTTGAATCAAAATCATTTCGTTGATTAGGTCCACGTGGCACCAAACCGATGGTTTTTAAAATATGATTTCGGTTAGATTTTCTTGTTTGACAATTTCTGCTTACAGCCCTAATACATATAACATTTCGTATTCTCTTCTCTCTTTCTACCCTCAACCTTATCTCTTCTCTCTCTCTCTCTCTCTCTCTCTCTCTCTCTCTAACTTCTACTTTCTCTCTTCCATCCCTTTATCCGAAACACCAAAAACTTTCGCCAGAGACCTCCAAATATTGTCGACAAATATGTCTCATTGCAATGCAACGTCGTCGCCGCACTATCAACGTGAATTGCTACAACACATAGCAACACACGGCGCCGTTAGAGGCTGCATTGTCGTTCGTAGATTTGCTTTTCTACCATCAAGCCTTCTATTGTGACGCTGCTATCGGAACCGAATGAAATAAGGCAAAGCAGAAATAGTTGGCAAAGAAGACGAAGAGGACGACTTGAGAAAGCGGCCAAAGGTGGCTGGAGTAGAAGCTACCGGAAGCCGCTAGGCATTCTGGTTTTTGGATTTGATCTGAGTGTAATCGCATACAACCAACGTGGATCTGATATGAGTGTGACCGCACACAACCAGCGTCATTCTGGTTGTGGCAATGCCGAGGTGACAACATTTTTCGATCTGATTTGTTGTTTTTTGGGCAGAGATTTTGTTAGATGTTGTTGATGGCAATGTTGGCAATGATTTGTTGGTGGTTGTGGTGGTAAGGTGGTAGTTTTATTGGTGATTGGGTGACGATTTTGTCGATTTTGGGGTGAAGATTTTGTTGGTGTTTGGGCAATGATTGGTGTGCCTGTAATCTGGTGTTGGGCGGTCGGTGTTGGATTTTGTTGGTGGCTATGGTTTCGTTAGTGGTTATGGTGGTAAGGTAGTGGTTTTGAAGTTGAAAATTGTAGTTTGCTGGAGGTGGCAGCGCAACAGTGATGGTGGCACTAATGGTGGTGGTAGGGTAGAGTTGCTTTCGATAGGTGCCATGGTAGATTAGGGTTAGGGGGGGTAGTTGGTGGGATTAAGAGTGCAACTGATTATTTGAGATTGTGACCAATAAATTATATAGTTTTTGACCAAAAAATAAAATGTGACCTAAAATTTTGAGTTGTAACTTATAAAATTTGTGATTTGTGACTGGTGAATAAAGTATGACCTAGACTTTTTGTGATCTGTAACTGTGAAATAATTTGTGACTAATAAAATTTTTGGTTTATGATCATTTAATTTGATAATTTGTGACCAAATTATATAAAATTGTAATATTAATATATTTAATTAATAAAATATATTTTTCATTAATTATTTCATAATTAAATTTTAATAATATTTGATTTTTAAAATTTAAACATTTTCTCTTAATCTTGAAATGAGTCATAGTTAGGAGGTGTTTGAGGGGCATTTTTATGTAAAAATACATTTTAGAATAGTAACTTAATGGGAAGTGTGTGGTTGAAGAATAAGGAAATTTTTTTGATTATGTGTAATATTATTTTAGTAAAGAATGTGTGATTGAAAAGAAGAGAGAAAAAAATACATTTTGGAAAAAATGGGTATCAAATGGGGGCTTAATATCTTGAGGAAATCATTAAAAATGACTCAATAACCCATGTGTATTTCCAAAGTAACCTTTGATCAGTTTTTAGAGGGGGAAAAATGAAAATTGATTTTAAACGTCAAAATCTCAAAATACCCTCAGACGGTCACTTTCCCATTTGCTTACAGTCGGCCAAAATCAAGGAAAAGCTACGGTCGGTTTCCAGTTGTTAGACGTTTTCAGTTCATCTCCGACAACTTTCTTCTTGTTAAGGCAAGCTTCGCGTTGTTAATTAACTAGATTAATGTTTAGATTTTCATATTGTTTGTGAATGTTGAATTTGTGGAGGTTTTTTGAATGTAATATTGGTTATATAGGTGTAGAAGTATGAATATGGGTCTAAATTGGAGAATAATATGTGGATTTTGAGATTTGCAAGCTTTTCTTGTCGAAAATGGAAATTTTCTGACGAGAAGAGCCGAAAAAAATGCCAGCTGAAAACGCAGCCAACATTTTGGGGATTTTAACAGTAGGGTGCCCGACTGTTAACAGCCGGGTGCCCAACTGTCATGGGCCATAACTGTTTTTATTTTTCACAGTCAGCCAATGATTTTTTAATTTGGGCTGATTAACAGTCGGTCCATTATTTGGGTTGACTGTTTAATCAGCCCATTGACTGTTATGGTCGGCCCGTCGTCTTTATTTTTTTATTATTTTTTTCTTACATTTATTTAAGGATTCCATTTTAAATAATTTTAATTATTAGTTTTTAATAAATAATAATTTATTTATTTGTAAAATTTAAATGTGATATTTAATTTTAATTTTAATTTGAATATTTATTTTTATTTCCTCATTTTTGATAAATAATAATTTTTCATTCTCGAAGTTAATTAATTTTTAAAATTGTAATATTTAATAATTCTTTTAATTTTAAATTTAAATTTCATATTTAGTTTCATTAATAGTTTTTTATAAATAATATTCTTTTCGTTAATCGAATTTCATTAATTCTTGTCATTGTAATTTTGAATAATTACTTAATTTTAAATTTTGTTTTTATTTTTATTAAAAAATTTTTATAAATAATATTCTTTTCGTTAATCGAATTTCATTAATTCTTGTCATTGTAATTCTGAATAATTATTTAATTTTTAAATTTCATATATTTTTTTTAATTGGGCTGACTACAAGACTGTTAATAGTCGGCCCAAGACTGTTAACTGTAGACTGTTCGGACTGTTAACAGTTTAATTTTTTTAAAATATATATATTTAATTTTTTTAAATATATTCTATAATTAATTTATTAAAAATTGTGTTATTTATTTATTTGTCGTTTATTTATATAATTTAATAATTGAATATTATGAAAGTAACAATTTATTTTCCATGTTATTTGTTTAATTTTAAATTTTTGTTTGTAAATATATTTTTCAAATGTAATAAACAAGATTAATTTTCTTTAAAATTTTCATTTGATTAAATAATAATTACGTTATTTATTTATTTATTTTTTATATTCTTTAATTTTTTAAAATTTATTTAAATAATATTTATATTCTTTAATTTTTTTAGAATATATTTAATCTTTAATTTTTAACTTTTTTGTATTCTTTAAATATTAATAATTTCCTTTTACTGAAAGTCTCATTAATTTGTATTTTAATTTAATTAATTATTGTTTACATTTGTATTGAATTTATTTTGTTATTAGCGTCAAGAATTCGGTTCCCATTGATTTTTTAAGATTATGCGTTATTTTATTATCTCTTGTTCAATGTTCCAACATTTAAATTTTTG